CACGTACAAACTCCAAAACACATAAAAACTCCAAAACACTTAAAAACTCAGAAGCACATAAAAACTCAAAACACGTACAAAAGACAACAGAAGTGCTCCAGGATGCTAGGGGGCAGTGTTGAGCTTTTGTTACCTACTGGCTACACAAGCAAGGAAGTACCAACGACCGGTTTTGGTGTGTGGTAGTAACAGGTAAATGAACATTTTCTTTGAATTATTTGAATACATATGAGTGCTTGTGTATAAAGACACAAACAACACACACATGCTTTCAATTGTGTAATTTAAGTGATCTAGTAGCTCTGCTTTGGAAGTTCAGTTAACGTTAGAAATGTGTTTTGGAGTTTGTACGTGTTTTGTCTCTAGGGGCCACCGCATATATTTATATATAAAGGTATATAAATAAAACCACTTTTTTTACATTAGTTATTCCTTCTGTGCATAATTTTATTTTATATATTATATATTGTTGTTAATAATAAATTAATTAAAGGAACAAAACAGCCTGTTGGGAGCCGAAAGATCCGGCTCTGTAAAAAAAAGATGGGGTCAGGAAGTCACTGATTGTCCATTTAGTAACCCTGATGTGTTTAGGGCAGGCTTGTACACATACACGCGATGTCACGATCCAGGTCTTTTGACCCAGCGTTTTGAGTTTTAGTTTATGTTTAAGCCCTTCAGGTTTTCTAAGTTCATTTTTTATCATGCCTAGGTTGTTCTAGTTCTTCGTTATTAGATTCCCCTTGTGTCTTCCGCCCATGTCAAGTCTCCCTTCCCCTTCATGTGTTTCATGTCTGCATCTTATGTTTCCTGTTTTATGTTGAAGAGGTCTGGTGTTCCTGTGTTCATCGTGTTTAGTTTTACTCTGCCACTGCTTTATCTCTAGGGGCCACCACATATATTTATATGTAAACATATAAATAAATCCACTTTGTTTTTTTACATTAGTAATTTCTTTTGTGCATGATTTTATGTTGTTGTTGATAATAAATTAATTAAAGCAACAAAACATTTTTTGATTGGCTGACATGGTAAACTCTAACACCAATGGGGAAGGAGGGTTTTTTCTTTTTCATTTTTTCACGCGCAAGCAGAGAGTGTTTGCTGGCGCTGTCTGTAGAAAACAACGTTTTTACCTTCTTCCTGCTGTAAACGCCGCTGTTTTGTTCAGAAAAAAACATTATGTGTATTTTTTATCATAACTCTGGTTTTACGTGGCCCATCGACACAATTCAAGAGTCTGAAGTCCGTTACTTTCGACCAACAAAACAACCTGAAGAGCCGGTTGGGAGCTGAAAGAGCCGGCTCTTTTTAATGAGCCGAGCCGAAAGAGCCAGTTCTCCAAAAAGAGGCAGAAATCCCATCACTATCTTGTGGCTGTGTCGTCTTAAATTGGTCATGTGATTTTGACGTGTCGACGCTTCCATCGACCGCAGAGGGTTAAGATGGAAAATGATCCACGTTATAGTTTCCTGGTTTAATTTGTATGGTTCTGCTCTCCAGCAATAAAGCTGTGAATTTCGAGTTCATTCCTGCCTCTGTGAGTTTGCGATTGGGTCCTCATCCAGCCTGCACACAGCCGAATCATGACACGAGAGACACGAGAGTTCTTCTTTACTGATGTTTACTGTGCTTCTCTTAACGTACACAGGTACACTATGGAACTGGTAAATACAGGTGTACAAGGAAATTATATTTCAGCATTAAAACATATTGCAATATAAAATTCACAAAATATAAACAAACATACCACTTTGGCCTGCAAGTAGACAAACCGGTGTTTTTAGAACTTAGGACTTGTTATTTCTTCTTTGACATTCGCACGGCCAGACCGTCACTATGAGCAGCTTCTCTGACTTTACTTCCCAAAACAGGAAGTGACCTCTGCCCTTACCTTAATTAACCGGTTATTTTCCATGTGTCAAATTAACTGTACACCAATCTGGTATGCAAATAGGAAAATGTTAACATACTCAACATAAAAATAAAACATTCAAAATAAAATGCGTTAATTACATTATCATTACAAGAGCTCCACCTAGTGGTCAAATACTAACATTTCACCAACTGTTACAATATCAACCAGCATGCTCGAGTACTCAATTCAATTCAATTTTATTTATATAGCACCAAATCACAACAACAGTCGGCTAAAGGTGCTTTATATTGTAAGGTAGACCCTACAATAATACATACAGGTAAAAACCCAACAATCAAATGATCATCAAATCATTCAGGCAGTCAGATTTAACAGACACAGTCACATCTGGGATGTTTTAAACAAACTTTTATTAAACGCAGGTCCTTCCTTTAATACATATATATGGGTCCTTTAAAGTCATTCACATGTTTGCAGAAGAATGAAAAGAGCAAAACTAATACTTAAAGTAGAACCTTTCTCCTCCATGATCACCACTGTCTAATGAAGATTCAGGAATAACTGATGATGCCTCAGCAGGCTCTGAAAGAGGAGCAGAGTGAAGGATGAAAGTCGTCCATCAGACCGAGTGAGTCCTCAGCTTCCTGTTCAGAGACAAACATCACTGATGTCAGCTGTTCACCTCTGACCTTTATTTAAAAACTCCTGTGTGTGAATGTTACCTGCTCTCACTGATGAGTACACAGCACATGGATCAGCTGACTGCTCTGTAACACACACACAGGGTTAGAGTATCGCACACCTGTATGTGTGTTTCACATGTTTATATCTTCCAGCTTAGCTCAGTGGTGCTCCTCGCTCCACTTACAGGCCTCTGCAGAAATTACGGTGTACAACACACACATATACACACACACACACAGAGGGATTCGTGGATACACACACCTCTGAGTCAGTGCTGATTATTATGTATCCCAAAGTAAAAGCAGCGGCCCACGTAGACCGGCCTTTATGGTCTACGTGGGCCGGGTCCTCCGAAGACTGAGAAGGCCGGAAGTGCGAGGCTGTGAAATTGCACGGTCTAGCCTTCATATTTGCATCACCGCTGTCTTGGTGGAGTTTGATAAACTCAACAGTCTGCTCCTTACTATCTAAAATATAACAGGACACTGACGTAAATTCTCTACCATCTCACACTTCTTTTTAATCAGTTTTCTGTTTGACGTTTATTCAGCTGTGTAAAACTATAACTTTAATCTCAGGCAAACCGATTTACTCAGGAACAAATAAAATACTGAAAAAAGTCAAATAATAACATTTTGAAGTTATCTAACTGACTTATTTATCATGTTTAAGCCTAAATTAAGCCTGACTTAAGCCTACCAATGACCTGTTTTAGGTCAAGCAGGTGTTGCTCAAAGGTTGGTGATGCGACAACTATATCATCTAGATACACCGCGCAGGACTTATAAATCAGGCCAGCTAGAACATTGTTCATGAGCCGCTGAAAAGTTGCAGGGGCGTTACACAGGCCAAAAGTAAGGACTCTGAACTGAAACAGGCCACAGTGCGTGATAAAAGCAGTCTTTGGTTTAGCTTCTTCAGCAATGGGGACCTGCCAGTAACCTCGAGCGAGGTCTAGTGTTGTGAGAATCTTCCCTCTCGACAAAGAGTCCAGTGATTCATCCACTCGTAGGAGTGGGTAAGAATCTATCACGGTCAGCTTTTTTTATTCGACGGAAGTCAACACAGAACCGTGGTTCGCGGGGGGGTTTGTTCACAATCACCACGGGAGCTGCCCATAGTCCTGATGCAGGTTCGATGATGTTATCCTGTAGCATTTTTTCCACTTGCTCTTCTACGATTTGCTTTTTAGCTGGTGAGGTGCGGTATGGTGGCAAGTTAACAGGCTTTGCATCCTCAGTTACAATGACATGTTCTGACAGAGAAGTGCAACCAAGGTGGCCGTCAAACAGGTCGCTGTAACTTTCTAACAACTCTAACAGTCTTTCTCACTCCACAGAATCCAAGTTAGCTTCTGCAGCCTTGTCATGGACAGAGAGCTGCTGAGTGTCCTGCAGAGTCATTGTTCCACAATCAAAATCAGCTTCCACAAAGCCATTTTCACAGAGTTCATCAAGACATGGGGGGTTATCGTCCATAAGTACAGTTCTTGTTGGGACATGTATTGTTAGTGAAGTGCGAGTCATAAAGTCCATCCCAAGAACAAAGGGGGATGACAGGTCCTGCACTATCACAAACCGCTGATAGACTCGCTTGCCCATGAATCCAATGGTTATTCCTAATGGACTGCAGTTAGTGCCACTGGCCAGTCTTATGGGTGGAGAATCCCACGGATTCTTTAATGACTGATTTTGTTTTTCTTTTCAGGTAACAGGTCTGCATTTACTGCTGAAAGAGATGCACCTTTATCTAGTGTGGCATCCAGAGCTGCCCCATTAAAGTTCACTTTAACTCTGAGAGGGGTGTTCCATGGTGATTGCGAAGCTCCATCTTCAACGTGATTGAGCACAGGTGTCACACTTGGGTGTGACATAGGCAATGAGAGCTGACTTATTGGCTGGGGGGAGGGTTGCCCCTGTGAAACACTCTCCCCCCCTGAAGTTCCCCTGCCTCCTGCCAGCTGGTTTTGTCTCCCTGACAGGGTCAGTTCCATCTGGATCTGCAGGCTGAGCTACTGGATGGTGATCAGGAGGCAGCGTTTGGGGAAGCTCCGGAGCCATCCTGGGGGAGTGTCCTGAAAATCAGTGGAACAGTTAGGGCACGTATGAGATATAACACCAGGCATGGCACATTTAAAACAACTCCCTCAGCTCCGTTTTTCAGCTGAAATCGGGAAGGCTGTGAAAGGCTGGTGCCGAGAACAGAATGCAGCTCATGGGCACACAACACTAGGTCAATTACTGACCTTACAGGCATCCTGTACAGCGCTACTCTGTACTTCTCCACTGCATGTTTACAGATGAGCTTTGCTCCTGTTCAGATGGTGGGCTCCTCAGTCTCCTGAATTCACTCGGCATATGGGCAACAAACGTTGGCAGAGGCTCTTCGGGATGCTGGAAACGGTTCATGATGCCTTTCAAAATGTGCTCCTGGTTGTCAGCAGGCAAAAACATAGTCTTGAAAAGTTCACAAAACTTAGCGTAAGTCGATATATGAGGACCGAGCACACTAAACCACTTCCTTGGTTCCTTAGCTAGGAAGTGTGGTAGTTCTCTGAGGATTTGGGCATTTGCTCGGTCTAAGGAGGTTTTTAAGCATTAACTGATTGTAGCCATTCTTCTGGGTGAAGACTGCCATCATTAGCGAACACAGTGGGCTCTAATTTAGCTTGGTGAAATGCTGCAGCAAGGACTCTGGTTGTATTATTTAGCTCCAGATAATCTGACTGGGATTGGGACAGGTCCCTGGTGGGCTGCGTGGGGCCAGGTGCCCGAGGAAAAGGGTGAGTAATCTGGGCAGCTGGTACTTTTGGGACTGGTCTTTTTTGTTGAGTCCACTGCTCCAAAATATTCCTCTGGAGGTCCAAAGACTCATGAAGGCACTGCTGAAGCATATCAACCTCTGCTTGTAGACTTTGCACTTTATGCCCAAGGTCAGCAGTACTATGTCTGGCAGTAAGTCGGTTTGGGTGTAACATAAAATCTATATCATTACACACGTCAGTCAAGTCAGGATGAGTAGGCATAATACACACTTATTAAGACCCAAATCTATATAAGGTAACAGTTGTGCTGAAATCAAATTTAGTTCTGATCACACAAAAATATCCAAAGCATGTGAATTCTTAATTTTAGCAGTAAATGTTTCATCTCACTTTGAAACACAGAGGTAGAAGAAGTAAACACCCCAAACCAAAAATTTTTAGCTGCAAAATACATCTAAACTTATGAATAACTGTGTATGAGCAGCACCTTTTCAAGTCAAATTCACTTAAAAACAGCTTCCTAATGAGAACTGTTAAGCCAGCGAGAATCAATAATGAATTCGTTTGAAATATACACTACAATAATGATCCGCCCGACGTCTGCGTCTAGGCCAGCGTGGTCTGTTTCCATGAAGTATGGCAGACGTCCACTTTGCCGCGATGTACCTTTTAATGTATAAATCATCAGCTGCTCAAAGAGACTGCACACTGAGGTCCAAGAGAAGATGTACCTTTTGTAATGTTGGGTTGTGTTCAGTGGTTGAGAGGAGGTGGTAGAGAACTTAGCAGGATAGTAGGAAGAACACACAATCACACTGGTACTGGGAATTCCACAGCGTATCCTTTAATGCACATTCTCTTCAACAACCATACAAGGCCCGGTTGAACGACTGCTGCTTATCAAACATGACACACAGTGTTCATGCGAAAGTTTCTGGAGAGGTAAAACATATAAAGTCTGTCTCTCTCCATGCACTTGTGTGCAAGCACATTGTTCCCGTAATCACATTGAGGGCAGTGGCGCATACTAATGACATCATAAACCCTTGACTTAGGTTGCATTAAAGAGACACCACACCACTGTGACTGTTACACGTGATTGAGAATTATACCAGGGAGTCAAGTACTTCTGATTTGAGGCACTATTTTTCAAAGTATCCAGAGTCAGATGAAGTGAGGAGGTAAATTATTAGCAAGATAATCAACCTCTGTTGGGGTAGCGTTCAGATAGCTGCTCTGCTCTATGTTGGTACAGGCCAAAGGACACCTGAGAAAACAACAATGCAATTTGCATACACGCCCAACAGAGGAGTGGAGGATGTGCTTTTGACTCTACTTAATCTGATTTTCAAACATCTAGAGAGCAAAGGGACTTTTGCAAGACTTCTTTTCATCTATCAATTTTTCTTCTGCTTCTAATACAACACAGCCCCATATTTTAATTCAAAGACTTTTAGCACAGTTTGAAATCAAGAACAATCTGCTGGGCTGGATTTTAGATTTTTTAACTGACAGGTCACAAAGAGTGAGAATAAATGGGGTTCTGTCTGACCCAGTCTTCTCCTCCACAGGTTCTCCCCAAGGGTGTGTTTATCACCCTTATTATCATTCAGAAAATAGAATAAGTGCAATCATATAAATAACTTGGGACCATAATCAATGAAAAACTGAACCTTGATGAGAATTGCAAATTGGTCTGTAAAAATTTGATTTGATTTATTTTGTTTAATTACTGAATATGTGTTTGTCAGGTTTTACCATGTCTGTGTTTGTGAAGCAATACCAGATGCTATCATTTTTCTGTAACGCAAATTTACCTTCAGGTATAAATAAAGTAACCTTAACCCTCACCCAAC